GTTGCAATAAGATGTCATTGCAAGTGGAGTCAGCCAGGTGAAATTGATTTGGTTGCACATGAGTATTAACTATCTTGTATGAATTAGGTGGAGTCTGGACTAATTCAACCATGTGTAATTGGAATTTCTTGAAAGTCAATATTTTGTTAGAATATGTATTAATGTAGAGATTTGTTAGTTATTAACTCAAATTCTAATCAGGAATCGATTTGGAGTCTAGTGAAATTATATTGGTTAGAGAATTAATTCATAATTAAGTTTATTTAGGGATAAATATTCTTAATGGGTAAGAGCTTTTAGTAAACAAGAATTTTTTGTGATCAAATAATGTGGCTCCATAAATATATAATGAGTCTTAATCTTTAGAATTATAAAAAAGAGTTATAATCATTATGTGATCTTTGTGTGAGATATAGGTCTATAAATATGTTAAAAAGAGTTTGAGAAAACATCGAGTTGCATGGGATAAAGGATATTTCATAGGTTAAACACTAGGGAGCATGAAAACTATGATTGTTTCAGAAGCTTTGGATTAATGTTTGTTTTTTGTGTTTTGTGTTTTGTATTTTTGTAATCTCTATATTTATAGTGGATTCTTCTCTCTCTTTCGTGGATATAGGCAATTAGGTTGAACCACATTAAATATTGTCTCTTGTTTGTGATTCATTTCTTATTGATTTCATTACAAAATACATTTTTTTATTGAAAATTCCCAATATGCTAGTGTCGTGTTGATTATGAAATTTGTAAGATTGCTACAACATTCTTAAGCTGTTAAGGTATAGAACTTAGTAACTAGACAACTATGCCAACTCATCCAAAAACATAAAAAAAGTAAGCTTTTTTCTAATTTCTCTTCTTGTCAAGTGCTTGTCAAAAATTGTAATGAGTTTTTTGTAACAATTGGGGTGCATTTGGATAAAGGATTTTATAAGGAAGAATTTCATTTGTATTTGAAATGAAATTAACTTATTTGGTAAAATAAAAATTAGAATTGTCAAAATTTTGAGAATTTGAATAACAAATTTTGAAAGTCCGTTTGGTTTTAGAAAACAAAACCATTTTTTATTTTCCTTCTATTTTTTTCATGGAAAATAGAAAATGTAAGTAAAAATGTGTTGGTAGTTAAAAATGAAAATATTATTTAGAAAATGAAATTGAAAATAAGCCAAAATTAGAAAAAATATTTTTTTTCATTATTTTCACTTAAAACATTTTTTAGAAATGGAGAAAGCAAAAACACGAGGGTTTAAAATTTTTTGCCATTTTGAGACAAATAAGCAAATAAGGTTCGAGTTGTGTCATCTACAAAAATGCCCTTTTTTTATTTAGTTTCAGTGTTCTCCCATCTTCTTCTAATATTCTTCTTTTCTTCTACGATTGCATCATACTCCACTAAAAACCCAAAACTGAATTTGTTTCCATTTGTGTTTTCTTCTTAATTGGTTTTCTATTACCTTTTCCTCTTTGATCTTTTAAACTAATAGGAAAATTAAGCCATATGAACATTGAAAAGTTCTTTGAACAAAAGTTATGGACCATGTATTTGGGTTTGGTAAGTCACCTGAAAAATATCTTTTGAAGCAAAATACAATCCAAATCCAATGTTTGAAATTAGTAGTTAAAAGTTTTGGCATGAAATAAGATAAATTTCATTCTAAATTCAATCCCTATTTCAATGAAATATTAATTCTTTTATTATTTAGTTAAATCCCTCATTTGGTAGGATGTTGTTTCACCATTTCCTATAAAAGGACCATACTCTTTCATTTGTCTCTTTAATTGCTATGAATCTTATTTTATATAAAGCCATGACAATTTTGATAATAAAAAAGTGTTATCGCTATCTAAAAAACAACATAATAAGAAACAAAACCATTTGCTCCTTTTCAAAATACAATAAAAAAAAGCTTAACAATTTTAACAACTTATCTTGATCAACCGAAACAAGCACAATATAAGTTTGGACTCAAGAACAAACATTTATTAGTGTTACTTATACAAATAAAAATTTCTTTTTGCCACCACTTTTGCAACTCAAACTCACACAAAATGTAACTTTTGTTAGAAGAACCAAACCTATTTACTCAATAATTCTAACCTCAATTCACCATTCTTAGCTTAGATAAACAAAGTTTTCATAAACAATGGAAGGGCAAAAAAGAGAAAGACAAGTAAGAGAAGAACATAGGGAAAAAAAATAAAAAGATGTTTTGCTCGCCAGCAACTGGAGATGGTACCTTTGCAAGAAGAAAACATATAGATGAAAATATATAGATTGAGATCTTTTTGAAAGGCAGTGAAAGAAGAAAAAAAAGTGAGAGGTTTTGCATGGTTGAAAGAAGTCATTATGTTATCTAATACATTATTTTTACTTAATTATCTTTTTTTTTTTTTTTTTCAAAATAGAGATACAAAACACATTTTCATAATTTTTGTATTTGAAAACAAATTTCATTTTCATGTACCAAACATGTTTTTCAAAATTCAAAACATAAAAAATGAAAATTATTTTTCAAAAATGAAAATCAAAAATAAAAATACAAAATCTTTTTATAACCAAACAAAGCCTTAAATTCTCTTTTCAAATTTTATCTTCTTATGTGGAATTTGTGAAATTCTTTTATTTTATGATAAGAAGTCAATTTTTACTATGTTTATTTTTTTATGCAATTTTTTTTTTCAATTTTAACTACATAAACTCATTATAAATTTTATTTTTAAAATTATTAGTTATATTTACATATTTTTACAAATATATTACATATATTTTCAAATATATTACATATATTTTTTAGTTTTTATTTTTTTATCTCTAATATCATTATTTTTATTATAATTATTTCTTATCTTATCAAATTCTAATTTTAAAATTTCTTTCTAAAAAATAATTATCCAGTCAATACAATTACAAATTCTATTATTTTGAATTGATATATTTCAAAATGCTAGCTTTTAAAATTTCACCAATTTTCAAAGTCTCATCCAAATGCACTTTTGAGTTCAAGAAGAAGTCTAAAACTTTAATAGAAGAAGAAGAAAAAAAAAGAGCATTTCCCATAAGTACATCTACTCAATTCTTCAAAAAATAGTATCTCTCTATTTTTTATATATCTTAATAGGATTAGATTACATGATTGTAGTACTTATTGTATCTATTAGAAAAACTACCTGGCTATGTCTCGAGTTGTAAAGGCATTAAAATAATTTTGACCAATTATGATAAGATGGATATTTTAGTAATTATGTTAAGAAGAGTATTAAAGTAATTTTAGTTAATCATTGAAAGAAAGACTTTACAGGCATATAATTCAATTGTCAAGTAATTATAAAAGCATTATGATAATTTATAAAGGGATTCATTTCTTATTATTATATGGATATTAAAATTTAATTCATAATTATGAAATAATCAAAATGTTATTTTTATAATTATGTTTAAAGGATATTATAGTAATTTTGAACAATTATTATATGAGAGGTACTTTCGTAATTATAGTTGAATAGGCATTATATGAAACAATTAAAAGGGGTTTCTTTGTAACTATGGTTAGAGAATACTATAATAATTTTAACAATTATAATATCAAAAGTATTTTCATAATTATGATAAGAAGTTATTTTTGTAAATATGGTTAAAGGATATTATAATAATTTCGATAATTTATAATATGAGGGTATTTTTGTCAATATGATAAGAAAGGCATTATAGTAATTTTGATGAATGATGGTAGGAAGAACTTTGGCCAATTATGGTAAGAAAGGTGTTTTAGTAATTGTATTAAAAAAGGTATCATAGTAATTTTAGTTAATTATAAAAAGAAAGGCATTACAATAAATTTTGATACATATAATTCAATTATTAAGTAATTAAAAGGACATTATGATTATTTCTAAGGGGATTAATTTCATATTATTATATGGATGTTAAAATTTAATGCATAACCATAAAGAAATTAAAAGGATATTTTTCATAATTATGCTTAGATGACGTTATAGTATTTTGGCCAAGTATTTTCATAATTATGATAGAAAATGCATCATATGATGCAATTAAAAAGATATTTTTATAATTACAGTTAGAGGGTATCGTAGTAATTTAATTAAATATAATATGGAGATATTTTCATAATTATGGTAAAATAAATATTATAATAACTTTAGTTAAGTATGATAATGGGAAAAAGAAAAAAAATAATTACATGACATACAATTAGTAGCAAGTAGGTTTTACAAAAAAAAATTAATTCTAAAAAATTTTTTATTAAATATTTTTAAAATTTTAATTATTCAAAAAGTAAAAAAAAAAATAAAAACAAAAAAGTTTATATAAGTAGGTCTCAAATATAAAAAAAAATCTTTTAAAAATTATATAATTTTATAATTTTTAAAAGTATTTATTAAATAATTAAAAAAAACACAAAAAATGGCACGGTATAGCCAAAAAGAAATAAGATTATAGATTGCACATTATTTAAGTGTGTTTTAAAAGAACAAAAAAATTGTAATTACTTTTTTATTTAATAAAAGGAAAATCAAAAGGGTAAAAAAAGAAATATAAAAAAAGTTTGATCCATAAAAATACAATTTTTACAAATATATATTTTTATAATTTTAAATTTTTTTTAAATTTTTTAAAAGATAAAAGTAAAAAAAAGGAAAATAAGAAAAAAATAAAAAAATGACCAATCATGAGTTGACAGGTAACACTCTAATTTAAAAATATATATTTAAAAATTTTAAAAACCGGCAAAAAAATTATGACACGTGGCTTAAGTTTTGGTCATGTACTGTTCATCACACGACCAAAATTTAAGTAACTGATTATCCAATATTTGTTCTAATCCTATAAAAAAAAAAAAAAAAAAGAATTTAGGCAAACAATGGCATTCTTCAAAAAGTAAGTGCAAAAAATAGCCCAAAATGAATAGCCCAAATCAATTAGAACAAATAAACAGGCCTAATTCAAAACATAAGTTTTTAAGAGGCCCAAGAACAACGGAAACAGATCAATTTGGACCGGGGGGTGTTCAGTTCTGTTTTACCATCTATGAGAAAGTGAGTCGTCGAACTTGAGCAATAATCAGAGCGACAGCCCTGCAAAAGCGAAAGAAAGATCAAAGATGAACACAGACATAACGGCTTCGGTGAAACCTGAGTACCCAGTTGTAGATCGAAACCCTCCTTTCACCAAAGTCGTTGGCAATTTCAACACCCTCGATTACCTCCGTTTCGTTACTATCACTGGGGTTTCTGTCACCGTCGGCTACCTCTCTGGTAACTCTACTTTTATCTACATAATAATAATTATGGGATTTCTAACATGGAAATGCAATTGACTGTTTTCTTTTTCTCTGTAGTATATAATTCTGAGTTGATTGACATGGAAATAGGGTTTTAGTTTAAAGTTTGAACCGTTTCTGATCTTTCTGATATTTGGTTGGTACAGGGATAAAACCGGGAATAAAAGGGCCGTCAATGGTGACAGGGGGGCTGATAGGGCTAATGGGAGGGTTTATGTACGCCTACCAGAACTCAGCGGGTCGACTCATGGGATTTTTCCCTAATGAGGGTGAGGTCGCTCGTTACCAGAAACGTGGATTCAACAACTAGACTTCTTTCGTTCTTTCTTTCTCCTTTATTCCCTTTTTTGTTATAAATGTTTGTCAAAGATATTTTGGATGTCAATAATCACATTGCTTTCGCTGATTTCGTTTCAAGGCTTTTGTTTTGCTGCTGTATTTTTAGGGGCTTTAAAAAGTGACTTTTGGGTCTAATATCCCAATGATGGGAGTGTTATCCCTTTTCCTTCTCATTGAATGATTGTTAGAAGGTACCGATCTTTTTTTTTTTTAATTATTCTTTTTATGTTGTTTTTCTGAATTGGATTTGTTGGAGTGAACTTCTGCCTTTTATGACTGCATACATCCTTGGGATGCAATTGATCAGTGCAAAACTGATATTCTGTCTGCAGAATAAATGAGACCAACATTTGAGTTTTCATTGCTGGGTTTGCCCTAACAAGTTACATTAAATTGAAAATATTTTAGTTTATGTTTTGAGTGGCTTTCTGGTTGTAACTTCCTCATCATCTCTGTGATAATTGGTGTCTTTCTGTGGTGCAATTCTCAAAGTTAAAAACCAGCTTCTGTAAAGTTTGTTATGCTTGACAGTGCCATAGGTTGTAAGCATATAACTTTTAGTTCTGTGAATATTAGTTTCCTTTTTGAGGGCTTGAAAGGGAAATTTTCACTTCCTAGATCAAAAGATTCAGGCTTTTCAGCTTGTATCTCTTTGCTGATATTACAATTTAAAAGATGTTCACAATCCCAATTTTCTGGAATATCAGGTACCTAGCTTCTTTCTTGGCATGATCTGTCTTAATGTTTAGGCCAGCTTACTGTTACAAACATTTCAAAGTGGTAAATATCCACTAATCATGCATAGAAATGTTTTAAATAAGTTCATGTGATCTAGACAGATCCAGATATAGCTAGATTTTGCTGAAATAAAAAGTCCGGTTCTATTATAGAAAACAGCAATCATTGGATTTTTGTTGTGAATTAGAAGTATTCTGGCCATCTCTTTGGGCATGCCACTCAGTAGCACCCTCTGTTTTTTTGTTTTTCACCCCCATTTCATCTTCATGCCGGTGTCTCGCTTCCTATGTAGGACAGCTAGTTATACTTAATTATCCTGATGAATTACATAGGTACGCAGGACAAGCCACCCTGTAAAAGAGGGGGTACCATCGCTAGACTTTAAGATATTATCATTAATATCATGGTTTGCACCATTTTAGGGTTTAAGTTGTTGGCATTGAAGGAGATTAATTTTGTTAACTCTATAGTTTAAGCACGAAGAGCTGCTTACACTCATTGTATCATTCATTCGTGCACAGAAGTTGCTTCCAATTTTCGATAGCATAGCCCTTCATGATACAAGGTGTTTCTTTCTTTCTTTAGATGAAGATTATAAAAGCTTTTTAATCTTAAAAAAATTATTCAATGATTTCCATGTGACCATTAACAGATTGATGAAAAAATGCGAAACTTTGTTTCCAAAGGGAAAAGGAAATGCTTCATCTCAGGGCAAACTGAAAGTGCATTCGGGGTATCAGATATCCGGAATTTTTTTTTTTTCTTTTTTTTTTTTTGGGGGGGGGGGGGGGGGGGGGGGAAGGCTACAGAAACTCAGTCTTCTGATCTCGTAGCTACGTATGTTGCGTGAAAGGATTGAACGCCATTGAAGAGCTTGATATCCCGAGAACGATGATCACAGTCAAACCGTGCGAAATACTTCGACATTATTGCAACTTGTCTAAGTTTCAGTACTTCACCTGAGAGGCCTAATGTAGAAATAAGAAGGGGAAAGAAGTTTGAACTTTCAATGTGCCTTCCTCTTTGAACCAATGTGCGAAGGCTGAGAATAGGAGCATTTTTATTTATAGAGTATATAACTACTAAAATTTCCTCCTTGAAGACTGTAACCCTGGAGATTTAAAACCAGAATCTTCTTTGGAAAAAAAACAAAAAAAATCTTGAATCCGATCTTAATCTAAAGCTCAATGGCTAATTTGTATCTTTAACCTGTTGAAAATGGGCTGAACAGGGAATCCAATTTGTGTAAAGTGGAAGTTTCAGCTCGTTTCGATCTTGCAGCCCATACATATGTGGACCACCAATAGGACAGAACTTGTCTTTTACCACCAGGCAGGCGGTCAAGCAGCCAGAAACCTCCTGTCCCCAATAAAGAGGAAAGAAAGTGTATTTAACTTGTGTTTCCGAAAATTTTTTATTGAACGGATTAACACTTTTTATGTAAGAGCGAAGGTCTATTCTTATCATTATTTTTTTTTTTGAAAAAAGGCAAATAATTTCAATAGGAGAGTGGTGATCTTTCTTATTAAATTGCACTCAAATCTTTGCTTATAAAGATGTGAGATCGTTTCTTTCTCAATATTATTTTCACAATAATTTCATTATTGATGTTAACACTATTGATGCAAAATATTTGGAAACTATACCCTAATATGAAATATTGTTTGTGTTAGGATTCGTGGCTTGCTTTTGTGATTTTATTTTTTAATGAAGTTATATAAATGGATAATAGTGAGCCTTAGTTATAAAGCCAAAATTCACTGGTTGATTATTACATGTGGGATGATTTCTCCTTCAACATTTCCTTTCCTACTTCTAGATATGATAGTGCAATGCTTCGGGAAGGTCGTTACGTGGTGGATGAGTCATTGACGTTGAGCCAGTAACGATTCAAATTCGCCACGCTATTAATTTTCAAACCTCAGCCAGTGTGGTTCTGTTGGATTCAATTTTTCTACCCTGTCTTTTTCCTTTTCATTTCTGGTAAAAGAAGTAAGTGACCTCATCCCACCATCTTGTGTTTCTGAAGCTTCTTTTTGAGTTATGGCCGTTCGTTATTCTTTGACAGAAAGGAGGGCTATTCCACACACGTCTCTCAGTGTTTATAAAAAAAAGAAAAGCAATTAAAGAGAAAAGAGACCAAAGTGATCCAACGCTTGCTTGGGTCAACAATGAAAATTTTCACGTGGGTCCAAATCCCATCCCATTTGAGAGAAAAAAGAAAATAATTGTTGTTGGGTTGGGAAGACGAGGAGAAAACTTGAAAAAATACGGAGATAATCTCTTATTTGTTTGTTCTGGTCTTTAAAGTTCAATCCCATTAGGTCTTCATAGCTGTGTTGATTAAGTCCCCACATGACGCAGAAATGAGTTGTGTAGGTCCCCCTTTAGCTGACGCCAATTGTTCTTTACTTAATTACCTATAGGCAAAAAAACAAATGCCAATTTTCTGTGGTCGGTGAAACAGTACCTTTGATTGGAGAATTGAATACTTCTACTTTAGAATAATTCTAGATCTGATATGATTTGTTAACCCAAGTTCCATTATCAATTGATCTTAACAATGAACTATCTATGTATATAGTGATATTGGGAATATTCTATTTAGGTAAATAATGCTGCTATGGGATGGAAGCAATTGTTCAGAAATTGACCCCATCACCTGTCGTTGATTTTGGCATAATTCGATCTGTTGCCGACACCCTTACGGTTGCAGGGACGGCTCCAGAGCACCTGCCAGAGATGCACCGAAGGTTGGTTAGATAAGAGATTAGATAAGAATAAATAAAAAGCTAGCAGGGGGAAAGAACATGAAGAGATCTCCCCGCCTCTTCAAATCAATTAGCTACTCAACTGTATTTGCATTTTTCCCTTGTATTGATGCTCTGGAACTGAGGCTCCCCGAATAAAAAACCGTCCATAAATAACATTCTTTCAAATGGACATGAAATGTAAGCTATTGTCCAATTTTAGAAATTCAAAGACTTTACCCATATGTATTTCGCATATTCGTCTTTCTTTTTCAAGTATTTTGTTGTTATTAGAAATTAAAATTAACAAAGAAAATGTTAATAATAAAAAATTAATAAATAAAAAGAAATAGATTGATTTCATTGATAATATAAAAAATTGCATTGAGACAAGAATATTTCACTTTCTTTAAAATAATTCATGTCTCTACTAAATTGTGTGAATCAATGTAGTAGGTTCTCAAATCATGTTGCCTTCAATATACATAAGCCTAGTTATATATTTGTAATACACTCTACAATTATATACTAACGATAGAATAATAAAATTAAAAAAACTGAATACCTTTTCTGTCCAAAAATTAGAAAATATGTGATCATGTATGATTTATGAAAATAGTGAATAAAATAGATGGTTTGTTATTTGAATTTTAAAACCTATTTATAAGTTTTGGAATTTATAACCGATTAAAAAAATCATAATTAATTTTATAACAATATTTTTTAACTGCTAATACTATTAAGAACTAAAAATTTTTTATTATATTAAGAGTTATACACTATTAAATATATAATACCAGTCAAAATATTTTTATTATTAAAATATAAGATAAATTACATAAATATACTCTGAGGTTTAATGCTACTTAAGTTTATCCCTTGAGATTTTAAAAGTGACATTTAATCACTTTGAACTGTGTATTTATGACATTCCATTAGTTTTTATTAACGCCTAATCAATAAACCCTAACTTTTTCTCATTTTTTGTTGTTTGCTATTTCTCAAATTCAAACTTTTCAAAGAAAAATTGGATTGGAAGCATAAATTCTTCACAATCTTCAACAAATAGGAAATCAAATGTTGAAAAAATATGTTATTGTGGTTTGTGTTACCGATTGATGTTCTCCTTTTTCCTCTTTCCTATTTCCTCTCTGTTTTAAAAATCTAAAAATTCTTAAAAAATTTAAATCGAAACCCATAAAAAAACCCTTAAGTTGTTATGCTTGTTATGTGGATTTATGGTTATTTTGTGAGTTTACTTGGTGTGAGTAATTTAGAGTGAATTCAGGTTTAGTGAGTTTTTCTTATGGTTGCTAAGTTTGTTTCTGGGTTTCTTCTATCTTATTTACTCTGTTGATGGTTGTCGTTAGAAATTGGTGTGGCTGTCAAATGAAAATCGATTGTTTGTTTGATGCTTAACACAATTCCTAACAACAAAAATTTCATTCCCAAAAAGCTACAAAACCTAAAATTTACATACAAACAGCTAAGCTAAAAAAAAATTGAAAATCTCAACCAAGAACAATCAACACAGCCAAAGAACACAAGAACATCCAAAAGCAAAATCAAAATTTTAGGTATTGATTTGATATTGGTTTTTTGAGCTTGTATAAAAGAGTTTTTGGATGGTTTTGGGTTTGGTTATTTTTGCGGCTTTCTCTTCAAACTAAGAAGAATGAGATGTTACTGGTAGAACAAGGTGTAGTACCATAGTGGGTTCTCTAACTTTAGCATTGGGGCTTCTTTTTCTTGTTTACGGTGGTGGTCATTGGTGATAAAGGACGATAGCGGCAACTGATAGTGATAACGTAGTGGGTGGTATGGTGAGTTTTGATTGAATTTAGGATTTTGTTTTCTTCAATTCTAAGAAGAAGATAAAAAACTTAACTAAAGAGAAAAAGCTGTTGCAAAAAAAAAAAAATTTTTTTT